TGTGGTTTAATTTCTGTCTTCGTTGAGTCCCTTTTTGATAATCTGCCCACATATCAGCTGGAATTTTATCTCGAAACTTTTTAGCATTACTGTTACCTTGAGTTGTACTACCATAAGATCTTGAGTAACAGTTTGAGTTGTATCTTGAATGTCGGGAATAAATCCATCTCCAAATTGCGGATATTCTTCAGAAGAACCTTGTGGATCTTTCACACGTATGAAATTATGAATAAAACACATAACAGTAACCATTGAAATTTGAATCTCTATAGTATATTGACAACCGTGAGCCATGATACTGAAGCGCTTCTTGCAGACTCCGAAAATACGCTCAATGACATTACGAGCACTAGCATGTCGAAGATTGAAAAGTTCTTCTGCATTTTGAGGTCTAAGATGAAAAGATGGAAAAGATGGGAAATAATAAGAAAAGATTGAGATTGATGAAAAGGATGATAAAAAAAGAAAGCTCACCTGAAACCTTTCTTTTCCCATTCTCGTAAATGATAACGGACTTTTCGAAAAGGAACAAGACAAGTCTCGGTGAGAGCAAAGCCAGCATCACCAAGATAATACTTCCCAGCTGGAATTGCAAGATCACGACTTCGAGCCAAACTCCAAAGAGCACCGTCAGCCATACTTCCTTCAGCTCCAACCAATAAATAAATAAATTCCATGTTGAAGTTGCACGCAGCAAGGACGTTTTGAGAAGTGTAGCCTTTACGATTAGAGAAAGGAATGAACTCGGAAGCCGGAGGAGTGACCGGAATATGGGTACCGTCAATTGCACCAATGCAGTCTTTAAAGTAAGGCATGAACTTGGGATTTGAAGAGAAATCATCAGGGAGCGGTGTGTTGGCATCGGGAAGAGGAATGTATTTTCCGAGTAAATCACCGTTATCGGAGATTCCCTTGACAAGGTGATTAATTATTCTATTCAAAAAAAAGAAGACATGTCAGAAGAAATTGATAGAATTTTTTTTAAAAAAAAACTGACTTAGAAATACTATCAGCAGATCTTTGGAAACGGTTCTGAAGTTTGCGATTAGAGAGACCGGTTATGAGAGTATAGAGTAGGAGAGCTAATTTCTCAGTCACCGTGATAAAACGTGAGTCAAAAAGAATTCCAGCATCTTGAAGAACTGAGCGTAGTTCGAAGAATACATGTTTTTGCATGCCAAGATTATCGTAGAAAACTGAATTATTTGGATTATTGATGAGTTCATCAATCCAAGCTTGACCACTGAGCATGGAAGTGAGGCGTGGTGTTTTGTAAAGTTGTGGAAGGAGCTGTTGAATACAGATCTGAGTACCAATGCTCAGATATGAGAACATGGTAAAATGATGTTCTTGAGTAGCAAGAACTTTTTTGATGAATTGCAATTGTAACAATTTGTGGGTTTGGGAGTAGTGATGAACCGCAGTAGCTCTCGAAACAGATCGAGGACGGTGCTGGATTGCACTCGAAGTCCTGTGGTGTGAGGACATCGCAAGTCAATTGCTATGAAAGTTGTTTGTAGGTGAACGACAATGATGACGAAGGTCTTTAATGACCGTTTTGGTTTTTTTTATGAAGCTCGTTTGTAGGTGAACGAGAAGAACGATAAGAATGGTCTTTGATGACCGTTTGATTCTTTTTGGGGAAGACAATCGATCAGATTGTATTTCATCATTATCGTTACCGAACAGCGATATGTGACCTCCGTTTGGATTTCTGTTCGGTAATCTCAATTCCCGAAATACGATATCTCTATCTGCCCCTTCATATAGGGGCAAAACGAAATTTCGTTTTCAGGTCACATATTTCACGAAAAGGAACCGAACGGGCCCTTAGTTATCCCTAACGCCTTGCCATCCATAGCCGTAACACTCTGGAATGAGTACATAAGGCTAAGTCCCTTATGTACTCTGTACGCCCATACACTTAAGCCTCACTGCTCATACTCCGCCCCGTAGACAACGGTCCAACCTGCGTGCCTTGCCTGAACCCCACATCATCGAAAAGAAGACGGTGAGTCAATCAATCCATTTTTACCATTTTCTTTCTTTTTTCTGACCGATCAGACCTCTATGTGTTGCTTCGCGTTTCAGTTCATATCATCCCAAGACTAAGACCCAGGCTGAGTTAACTTCTTATGTTTCTCACTCAGCTTGTATGCCAGACCCGGTTCCAAGACTTCCAAAAATAACAACTTCAAATGATCGTGCGAATTTATCATCTATGCCAGTCGAAACAATAGAGATGATTGTATACTGGGTTTATCATCTTCCTCCAACTCAGCAAGATTATCAGAATCAAGAGATCGAAAGCGGTCTCAATGGAAATCATTATCCACGTCTTCAAAAATTTCGAAAAACAAATGATAGTCAGTACATCTGCTAATCAACAATCTCACCATTCAGTTGCTATTCACCTTCAATCACGATCCATTTGACAAGCATTCCCTTGCGTGCTTCTGTTTCAGATACCATATTTATCTGCTGCGCTGACAATCGCACCTTCGTGGGCTTCCCTAGGTCTCCCTTTGGACGACATTCGATCACTTGGCTCAGTTGATCGTTCGTTCTATCAAATGTGTTCTATGTATCTTTTTCAGGTAGTTAATTGATTATTATCATCCTATTCCGATGATACAGCAACTGATGCAATGATTTCGATTTCCTTCCCAGGGTTTTGATTTCGAAGGGTTTACGGTTGATAGATTAAAGTTTGCCATCAAAGAAATCATCAAAAGACATTCAAATCAAGTCGTAAACCTCCGCTGGAGAGTCTCGGGACATGATTCAGTTTCAGAGCAGCATGTAGACCTATTGGATGCAAGCAGATGTTATCAGTTGCGATCTGAACTTTTAGTCATAATCCTAGGATCTTGTCCTCATATCACCAGTCTCGACATTGATCTAGATCCAAACCCTTTCATACCTATCAACAACATGGAAAAAATGGACTTACCAAGCTTTGAAGACTCTTTGACGTCATTTCAGTCTGGAAATCGAATGCGAAACTTATTTATTAGACCCGTCTCTCAACTTATCTCACTTACTCATCTCTCACTATCATCTCCTCTTGAACGACCGCCTTACACAGAAAGCTTCTTGGTAGAAATTCTCTCCGACCTTTCTGAACTCCAAAGTTTTTCTTGTTCAAGGATTGATACTACTCAACCAAAGCCTTTGGATGACCGACTAGCTTGCCGATCTCCGCTTGGAATTCATCTCGCTTCGCTTACTCACCTTGTTGAATTGGAGTTGGAATACGCAAGATGTTTTGATTTCAGTTGGAATCAACTCGAGTGGAAAAGTTCATTGAAGGCCTTGTCATTGACAAACTGTGATCGAGTCTCAGTAACCGTCTTGCTTGGTTTTGTGGAAGTGTTTAAATCGACCTTAACGACACTCATATTTGTTAGGCTTGCTTTTTATGAGCCTGACAGCTTGATTTCAGTTCCACTTCCAAATGATCAATTTCAATTTGAATTGCCTAAGCTGACCAATTTAGAAATCATAAGCGACACAAGCATTCAAATCTCAAGAGCTTTTGAACATTCAAAGAACCTTTCATGGCTCTCGTTGGGTAACGCTCCGCTTCACCGACATCAAAATTTGGAAAATTTAATCGATGAACAACTGTGGCCTAATCTGAAAAAGCTAGAGCTCGCAAGTTCCAAGTCTTACAATCTTGAAGACATTGAAGGTTTAAAAGACTCATGTGAGAGAGATGGCATTGAAATAATTTTCACTGATTTGGATGATGATGATAGTGATGATGGGATGAGGAGGATGATATCTATTAACTAGAAAAATATGTCCACAGTGTTCAGGGTGAGGATTGTAATTTGTATGGTGGCTGGGCCTGAGATTATAAACTGGAAGGACATTCTTATTATTTATATTACTTTAGCTCAGGTTCAGGAGTCTTTTTTTGTTGATGAGGTGTCATATTTACTTATGATGATCCAAACATTGACATGTACTCAAGCCTGTGGAAATTATCTTACTAGGCTCTTGGGCTTTGTGTATACCTTGCAAAACATTTTATTAGTCAATATACAAAATTCATGGCAGCTTTGAGTGTGTCAAGCTCAATGATCTGTGCCAGTTTCCATCCATCCATCCATTTACCATTCAGAAATCAAATGGTGTACAGATAATGGACCCTCACTCGGTAGCCACATCAATCGATCTCCTAGTACAAGAGAGGATCAGGCAATCGGCATCAGATAAACGAACACGCCAAGAAGCTAGGTTAAGAAAGTACCGTGTGATGATTCAGAGTCGATATGATTCATGAAGGGAATGAGATATACGCAGTGGACCTTGATGATTGTTGATTCCCCGGTGCCCATACTATATGAACACGTTTCTGATAGCAGGTTTGTAGAGGGAAACAAGAGTTTGGTTCAGTCTCTTCAGTTTCCTAGTTCGTCAACAATAACATGGACCTTAAGCCCATGAAAGCCCATAAACTGCAGAATGACTGGCAATATGTGGCTTGCCAAAACCCTTGGTAACCTTTGCTTATGAGATGGTAAACCCATGAAATGGAATCCTACCTTCTCTGTGTAGTGCCACTCGTTCTTTTTTGACGATGCATTCCTGAAGGTATATGCGCCGACGCTCTGATCCAACAACGTAATAATGATCACTGGGTGCCAGTGACTCACTGAAAGCCACTCTGTATCCTACAACCGAAGTTGACGATGCGTACTCTGGTTACTGAAACCGACCTCTAACCTTTTGAGCACTAAGGACCGAGGCGCAGCTTGAGATATACAATATTTCGATTGTGTCACGATCGGATCTCAAGTGGAGATGAACCTTATCACCTTCAAATATACACACCTTCGAGTTAAAAGACGACAATCTCCATGTGCCCCTTGAGATAGGGGCAAATCAAACTTTGGTTTTAAGGTCAGAGAATATCTGAAAAGTACCCGAACGGGCCCTTCTAAACCCAAAAGATAAAAATCATATTGGAAAAAGTACAAATCAACCAAGACATGTCCTCTACATTGGAAAATCATGAGTCGCGTGCATCAATCACATCAGAAACCAAATCACCCAAAATCGCATATAATTTATCATCCATGCCACATGAAGTGAAGGAAACCATTGTCGAATGGCTTTATCTTTCATCTCAAATAAACCAGCTACTCCGTCGACATTGGCAATACGATATCCCTCACGGTCAGTGTCTTTACATGCGGCGTTATTTTCGCTTGATCGAATAGTTTTCCAAATCGACATCGATCTGACGCTGATTCAATTTGTTGACGACTCAGATTCCATCGGCTTCTCTAGGCTTGAATCTGACGAAGAGTCTACCAGTGAGATCGAATTGTACAGAGACACTTCTTTGATCGACATTGGATCACTCGCTTCCGTCAATAAATCGTTTTATGAAATATGTCGTCCGTATCTCTTTGAGGTCCGTTCATTTCCTAAAGCCAGACCCTCAATGGCTCCGCTTTCCACGCTTGATTGACTGATCCGTTGGTCATCTTCGGTGCTCCAGCGGTTTGAATTCTACCGCCATCGATCTGAAAGAATCAGGTTTACACTTGAAGAAATCATTGAAAGACATTCGATACATGTCAGGAACATCTGGTGGAGAAGTCCGACTGCGAGGAAATATCGACCTGACCTCTTACTTGAGATCTTACAAGCTTGCCCTCGCCTGACCCATCTAGATATTGAGATTAATACAAGAGAACAAAAAATTCGACCCACAGCAGATTCCCCATGGTCTCATCATCAATTCTTGATAGATAGGTTTATTGAACCTATCTCTCAAATGAACTCTCTCACTCATCTTTGTCTCTCGTCACTTTATGTGGACCTACCTCGCTTCTCAGAACACTTCTTAGTCAGAATCCTCTCAAATCTTCGTCAACTTGAAAGCTTTACTTGCTCCGGGATTAGCTCAAGTGTTTCTAAGAGGTCAACCGATCAATCACCAGTTGGATTGCTTCTTGCTTCCTTACCTCATCTCACTCACCTGGACCTACGTGAGGCACAATGTTTTGATGCTACTTGGAGCCGACTAAATTGGAGCTGCTCACTCAAAGAATTAAGTTTGAAAGACTGCAATCGCGTTTCAATGGCAACCTTGCACAAATTCACCGAGTTCTTTGCATCCACTCTCACCAGACTATCACTGAATAATGTACCAATTTATCATGATGAAGATTGGTGTGATGATCGATCCACTGATTTCATGAGAAACAGAATACGATTTGAACTACCTAAACTCACCATCTTAGAGATGTCAAGTGGATTACCTATTCCATTCTTCAAAGCATTTCAGGCTTCAGAAAACATTTCAATGATTTGCTTGCATAATACTTCCACTCTACGAAGGGTTGATATAGAGCAATTGATCCAGGATAAATTCTGGCCCGCTCTGCAAAAACTACAGGTCACACGTCGGACATCTTATTTCACACCAGCTCGAATCCAAAGTTTGAGGGAGGTATGTAATAGAGCTGGAGTTGGATTTCATTTCGATACCCGTGTTCGTGATAATGATGAAGCACCCGAGTTTCATGCCTTTGAAATCGCTATGAGTATGCTTAATCGTGGGAACAACAATTTTCCGAGCGATGAGGGCATAGATGATGATGCTCATTGATGAATCTCGAAATCTCTTTCTTGAATGTATTATACGAAGTCCTCTTCGGACAGAGCTAAACGTCTTGTAGTAGACATACATGTATCTATTTCTACCACCTCAGAGTGAAGAGACTGACTGTCCAGGCAATTTGATTCTGATTCTTTGAAGTTCCTTCAACAATCAACTCTAATTGTTTGTCCTTCATCAAATGGTATCTTTACCCTGCCTGCTCAAGGTTCAGGAAGTGGCATTGAACCCTTCTTGGGTATGACTCATCCGATGACAAAGGAGTCAACTCGGCTATGTAACAGTACATATGTGGTATGTGAGATGGGAACTATAAACTCAGGAAACCATGCAAAAGTTTAGAAATGGTTTCCAACTTATGAACACAAAGCAACACTGGAAAAAAAATATACGCAAACTGCATGACTCGCCAGTGGCATGAGGTCCTCTCACAGAAGGAGGGATACGGCTTCCTACCTATCACTCGGAGCCGCTCGGAGACGCCTGGTCCTTCACCACCCTTCCTTCAAATTGAACTCCCAGGATTTTTCTATCAAGCCGAGCCGCACTGTTGGAATTCCGGGGAAGATAGATATCACTGGAATTTTCTCTTAATTTGTCACTGCAATGGCTTGCAATGGAATTGTAGTTGAAAGCTTTGTACTTCGATCGAATTGCGCGAACGGTGACATAAGGATCATGTGTTCCAAAGAATTGGAGCCTGCGCGAAGCGCGGAAAAATTTAGCGCGGAAGTGGAAAGTGCGGAATTTCATACACATCCGTACAGATAGCTCTCGAAGAGCATTGTCCAGATTGGGAAGGTGGCTTCCTTCGAACACGTTTCATCTTAAGAAGAGCGCTGGGTCATAAAAATGATACAAACATAGAATGTTGGGTAAACAAAAAAAAGACAGGGAACCACAAGGAACAAGGCCTATCAGTGTCTTTGAAAGACCTCGTCTCGATGCTTGACGAAAGGTCAAGACTCCCAAGATTCAGACTGCACAGCAAAAAAAAGAAGGAAGGTGGATGCCATTGATCGCACGCTCTGATGCACAATCCAACGGCGACTCTGACATTCAGATTGTTTACAATTGAAACGTATTTATCGATCTTTCGCTCGTTTGGAGTACTTTTGTTTGAAATATAAGATTGATCATTTGTGCTCTTTAGTTTGTCTTACACTTTTGGTGTGTTATCTTGATTAATCTAAGATCAGATAGACAGATCCATCTTGAAGCCTTATCGATAGTTGTCTAAGTATTTTCATTTGCTGATCGATCGTTCAAGTCAGTCAAAGTATCAAACAATATCAAGATCAAAGTTTCAAATGATATCGTTTGTTATCTTTCAAGACTTTGATGATTCAGCAAACACTTTCTTCTTTCTCAATTATTTCAGGCGGACGCTTTTGAAGTGATCTAATGTACAGTCAGTTGCAGAAAGTTTGAAAAAATCTGAGCCAAACGAAAGGTCATGTGGTCCGTGCGCGATCTAGAAGTATACGAAACCTGGCAGCCGTCTGGAAGCCACATCCCGCCAAAAACCTCCATCAGCTTCTGACCCATACCGAATCCCAGTTCATTTTGTTGATTACACCATTCCATGCCAACGATCCTTTCCGCAACCATCTCACCCACAAGTTGACCGTCCTTTTTTTTCTGGACTGACCGTTTTGGGATGCACGATCGACTCACGGCCTGATCGCATTGCACCACAAGCTACCACAAGCCCTTGTCCTCGATCTTCAGCCTGCATCACTTTCAATCAAACACTGTTCAGATTGACAATTCTTATCCACCACCGCTTTCACATCATGAACCGCCAAATCTCACCCGTGCCAAGTGGAATGGTTTCGACCCCTAGCCCGTAAGTGCAACTTTCTCGTGACTTTCAAAATCCGCCCTTATGATGTTTTTGGCAATCGAGCTGACTCATGTTAACCACGACAGGAGTTGGGCTCAGCGTGCACGAGCGCTTGAGAGTCCACTGGCCCAAAAGCAAACCGGGACCTCGATCAGGATCCCCATGCCGAGTCCGATGGAATCTCCTATCTCGTTGTCCCACTACTACCACCATGGGCTCTACGCCGGAAAAGATATCCACTCCCTGGTGTCTTCCAGCCTGCCTGATCTCGATCAAGTGATTCAAGAGACCCCCACGAAGTCCCATGGTAAGTAATCTGGTTGAAATTTCGCCTTCCCGCTAGCTAACCGTGGGATTCTGGGGTGTAGTAATGCGCCAGCTACCCGTTTCCAACCCAACATACCCTATCGAGATTGACCTACGCTCGTCCAGCCAGCCCTTTGATGCACCGGAGGATACCCCCATGAAATCACAAGGTATAACATATACCGTTCCTCCCAGCGTCCTTTTGTGCCTCATGTTCTTCTCTCTTTTTCTGTTTCACTTCTACCATCTCAAGCAGGTGCCCATGCAAAAGAGCCGAAAGCGATTATACTGGGACTGTCCAGCGAGGCGGACATGGGTGTGATAGCGATCACGAAGCAATCGCAAGGTAAGTCGGTCTGGATGTGCTCAAAGCCGTTCCATGCTAACGTTGGCCATTGTTTTGGATTGCTTAACATCAGACATTGGCAAGCAAGCACCCGCGGATCCCATGCGCTCTCTATCTGTGGCGTTCACTCTCTACTTGCCCAAGGAAGCAGACTTGATGAAGGGCCCTTCTAAGTCTAAGAAGAAGGTGGCTTACTCCGCGATCTCTCTCCCTACCACCAATCAAACCTTTGACACGAACGGGGAAAGTATCACCCACCTGAAAAGCCGCCTCTTCCGCATCGCTAGCGAGATCGATACTTCGGACGATGACAACTGTGGGAATGTTGTGATTCTCAAAACTGCGGATGCCAAGAATTTGGTCATCATCTCCGGCCACGTCAAGCAACACGAAGAGTTTGCGAAGGGCAAGGAGGTCCTGTTAAGTTCAAATGCCGATGTCGCTCGTTTCTTTAAGGCTGTCAGGGGATCGCCTCTCAAAGAGTGCGGTTTCACTGTCACTATGGAGAACCCGCAGAAATCGGCTCAAGAAGCCGAAGATGTAAGTGTTTCTTTCTGTTTATATCCGCAAACCCTGCATCACATCCATGTAACGTTTGCTAACGTTACCAACCTGTTCTTTGCAGGCGGTTTTGAAGAAAAAAGCGCGCTTGCGCGCTCAGAACGAGATCAACAACGTGAATACCACGCCGAACAACCTTGCTTGATGTAGACCTGCGGACCCGGTCACGAAAGCCCTCAAGGCTTTGCAGATGCGTCACTCCTCCATGAAAACCAACAACAACAAGGGCTATCGTATTTTCAATAAAGCCGACCTGTCCCAGAAGATGGACTTAACGTTTCGCCACATGATTTTATGGGCTCGTTTGTTGGTAAGTGTGTCTGCGACCTGGTATTTCCTTGATTGAATCTCACATCTTTTTTACTTTGCTACAGGCCGACAACACCAAGGATGTCACCATCGACGATCCACCACCGGACCATGAGGAGTTTGTCTGGAAAGACATAACCCTCCCTAAGCGGCCTCATCAGTCAACTCCGCTCCCTGAACCTAAGCGTCACAAGCCAATCAAAGATCGCCCGTACGTCAGACCAGGCAGTTATGCGGAAATGCAGGGCGCCCACATCACTATTAATTTCGACACGCTCCAACGGGTCCGGTTCCGCAATACCCTAGATGATTATTTGGCCTACTGCGACTTCAGCAATAAGGCATCTAAAGAGGTGGCTACCATCCTCATGGCGTATGGCGTGACCGGGTTTCACTATTTCTTATTTCCTGAAGTCATGAATGTGCGTGATGTCCAAGCCTGGGGAATATCTTGGGCTAGCGCGATCGAGCTATTCACCCAATCTCGTCGTTTCTATCTCGCCGCTGTTGAGAACAAAGAGCGAAGATTGGCCAAGGGTAAAGGGAGGGCAGATTGCCCCACTATTGACAGTGATGATGATTAGTTTGGTGTCACTACCCTCGCGTGTTATGTCACCAATTTGATAGTTTTTGGTTATCTTGTGTGTGAGCTAGCTTGTGTATTGTCAGTACCTAACCTTAGTTACAGTTGTGGTTGTGAACAGTGAACGAAACATGTGATGAGCAATGAACCGCATGACCAATGTGATGAAATCACAAGTTTGATGAAGACCAAGTGTCCATTCCAGTGTGAGCGAGCGAAAGGCTCTGCCGTTCTCAACAGGCTCATGAGCGTCACCTGAGCCACCGAAGGTTTTGTGAACCTTGGATCACCCAGACATTTCGAAATCTCGAAATGTCTGCCGCATTTCTCTTGCTTCATGTTTGGCGGACGTTGGCCGAAGTTTGGCCGACTTAGGCCAACATGCTCCTGTCCTGAGCTATTTCGAGCTCTCCTCTCCTGTGAGACGAGCTCAAAGCTCACATCACCAAAATCCAACAGGACAGGTGAAATCTTCCTGGATTTGGTGAAGCAAATCTCACTGGGTTCGGCACTTCAATTTAACAAACTCACTCACTCTCACTGTAACTCACAAAGTCACAAAGTTTTGTCATTCAGACAAATTGGGTAATTGTTCAAATACGTTATTTACTAAGCATGGGGTTCGGGTTAGGCCAGTTTGCCACTTCTGCACTGCAACACTAACACACAATAGAAGATCCTTCAAACAAAGTGAGAAAATCTAAGTTCCTATTCATCAACATCAATTGGACCGTTGTATGCCATCCAATAGTCCGCGGTAGCGTATCCACAGAAAGCAATTAACGGTTGTAACAGCTTGCGGGTCATCACTTGAGCGGCCACCATCAAAATATAGTCACTCAAGTCCTCAATGTGAAACCAGATGTTATCCCTCCTCATTTGAGCCTTCATGCTGTGGAAGCAGTTTTCGATGGGATTCATGTCCGGCGAGTAAGCTGGTAAGTATACTAAAAGAACCCCAGCATCTCGGCAAAGCTGCTTGATGATCCCTCTGTGGTGAATTCGTGCGTTGTTGAGGACCAGTACCGAGTTGACTGCAGGGTAACGGTTCATGACAGGAAGCTAGAGTCGTTGAGACAATCAGATCAGAGTCAGTCACATCCTGTCGACTGGAAGCACACATGGCACGTACCAACTCCCTTTCCAGGAAAAGTTCCACATGGACTTGTTCGACCGGGCCTTCGTGGACCACGCCTGCTATCATTCCTTGCTCGCACACGGCAGGAAGGATAGTCCAATGCTCAGTATCGTTGTCGCGCTGCTGTCGGACACTGCGACCGCCCTTGGGAGCCCAACACCTGTAACGAAGCGTATCACGACCCCTGATGCCAGACTCATCTAATCGAGGAGAAGCTTTGTTAATGGCCAAGTCACACTCTGGAAAGATGGAGAGAGAGAGACGAACCAATGAATACAAAATACTCTGGTGGGATGTTTCCAACTCTCAGCATGTAAGCGGTGCGGTCTTCAATCGACTGCGCCGAATGAACCCCGCGAGCGACGAGATGCGACAGCCCTAAGCGGTGGTGTAACTCCCGGCTGATTGTGGCTCTAGAAATTGGAATGTCTGAAAGTAGTAGAAGGATCTGTTGGATCTTGTCAAGGTAGATCGAGGGGTTGCCGGTGACGATTTTGTAGAGGACAGCGAGATGCTCTTCGGATAACACATGGGGTCGGCCACGGGTCTGGTAACCTTTAGGGTCGTGGATCACACTGTTGGTTGCGGCGTAGAGGGTTTTCCAGCGCCAGAGGGAGACGGCTGATATCTTGGTTCGTAGTGTGACATTGATTGTGTCGAGGGCGACGCCGTCGATGGCCATCTGGGTGGCCAAGAGCTTGATGCTCTCCGAGTAGAATTGATACCCCATTGATTTTACAGGGAAATCACGGGGAAGAAACCAGAGAGCTGAAATGGAATGGAAGGCGAGGATTGGATGTGGATGAGATCGGTTGGTTGGGTGTAAACGGGTGAGGAAAATTTTTTCCGTTCTGGCCTGTATCCTTGGACAGGAGTCGGAAGTCCAGAGAACCCGGTCACTATGGGGCTGGAGGGGTTTGGCACCACATGGCTTACAGGTCTCTGCCAGATTCCGCCTGCTTCCCCGAATTGCACGGACCACCTTGCTGGGTTTTGGTTGCGATTTTTTCAAACTTTCTGCAACTGACTGTACAAACTGCGTCAAAATCGAATTGAGATGCTTACAGATCATAACCATCTTTTTTTAATTTCAATTTGCTTTGATATTTTACAATCAGAGAGCAGCTGGTAATTCACCCTGAAAGGTTGTTGGCTTGTTGAGAAGTAGCTCACATCGATTCCTTCTGCTGGATGATATGTGTGTTAATTGGAATGATCCGCATTGGTCATAGCTTCAAAAGGCCCCCTGCTTTGAGATGCTGAAACGAATGTTCTAACTACGTCTACCCTGTATGTGACCCTGTATTTTCCGCACTTTCCACCTTGCCTCGGGGAGGCTCCGATGCTCTCATGTGTTGGGCAACGTAATTCAGGCCGTTTCACAGGCATATATTTTTAGTAAACAACAACTCTTGATCTATCTTTGCTTCAGTCTTCAAAAGATTCTAAGATCTCTTCGCATCACAATTT